ACTCCAGGATCATGACCTGAGCCGAAGGCAGTCGCTTAACCAACTGAGCCACCCAGGCGCCCTAAACAATTTTTTAAAGATTTTATTTTTATTTATTTGAGAGAGGGGCGGGAAGAGCATAGAGGGAGAGTGAAAGGAAGAGGCAGACTTCCCGCTGAGCAGGAAGCCTGATGCGGGCCTTGATCCCAGGACCCTGGGATCATTACCTGAGCCGAAGGCAGCCGCTTAACTGACTGAGCCACCCAGGTGCACCCCAAATCTTTTAGTATCATTGTTATCTGTTCAACACATTCTTACACTTCTTTTTTTTCCCCTACTATTTCACCCATATGGTCTAAATTACCATGTGTTTAAACAACTACTCTTCTTTTGCAATGTTTAAAATTCTTTCATTTACCTACCAATGTTGTCATCATACTGTCAATTTTCATACAGTTGCCATGCTTCAAACAATAAAAATTAACCACATTTTAATAGAATTATGTGGGGGAAATTATATGCACATTATTTGGAGAACTCTAATGGGAAGTTTCTGTGTAATATGATAAATTTCAATTTTCTGTTCCCTGAAGATAAAAAAAATTATGTTGATATTTGGCAAGATTGGAAGAGAGAAACTAATTCATCTGAAACACCCCTTTCCACACAGACATTAGGTTGATGGGGACAAAAAGGACAATAGAATTGATTTCAAAACCTACTTAACAAGTTCAAAAATAATTTTTTAATTGCTTCTATTGAGAAACAGGAAGGCAGAAAATGTAAAAAGCATTTATCAGTATTCTTCCATTTAAGAGAAGTATTTTCAAAAATCAACTTAATCAAAATTTGTGTTAAATAAAATCTTTCCTTTACTTAGTCAGGTATTGCCTGCTGGGCAAAAGCTGGTTTACTTACTAAAAGACCAGTTTCTACAAAAAAAGAACTGGAAATTGTATTTTACTGTTATCTCTGTTTACAACTTCATTATTATTGAAAAGAAAGGCGGGCGCCTCGGTGGCTCATTCGGTTAAGCAACTGCCTTTGGTTAAGGTCATGATCCTGGAGTCCTGGGATCGAGTCCCGCATCGGGCTCCCTGCTCAGTAGGGAGTCTGCTTCTCCCTCTGACCCTCCCTCTTCTCATGCTCTCTCTCTCTCATTCTCTCTCTCAGGTAAATAAATAAAATCCTTAAAAAAAAAAAAAGAAAAGAAAGGCAATAGCATTAATCTTGTATCACAACAACACAAACCAAATTCGATTTAAAAATTTTAAATTCTAAGAAGGGAATGGTGTTATTTCACTTTTTATTCCTTAAAAACTGAAAACACTGCAATTTGTATTTCTATTTCAAACTCTGAGCAATATTTCAAGTTTCATTACAATTACAGGGGAATAATTATTTAGCATGGAAAACAGGAATAAGAAAAAAATTAAGATGAAATAAAGATCTGAAGATGTGTATCTAAAGAACGTTCTTTAACTGTGAAGCTCTTCACATAATGTTAACAAAGCTGGGTAGGTGATTTCTGAGAGGATTAAGATGATGGAACTCAAAACCTAGATGACATAAATCAAACACAGTAGAACAGAGTGAGCAGCAGTGTCTGGTTAATTGCAAAAGTTGTACAGTAATACTTGACAGTGAGGTAGAAAGATCTGCTGATGATGTGGATGTTAAACAAGAAAGGAACAACGATAATAAAACAGAAATCTGAGATGTATTTAGTCAATCTTCTCACATGTTCACAAAAATCCTTTCTAAATAAGCACTGAAATCTAAATCTAAAAGAAATATTTTTAAATGTCATTTAAAAAATACTCCTCCAAAATATGAAAGCGGCACAAATTCAGGAGGCTCAACAGCACTTACTTAACCCAACTTGAAAACACTATTCTTTTAACGTCTGGTTTTGGCATCCTTCCCACAGAATCCAAACGGGGATTCCCAAAACCAGTAAAAAATCGCAAGCTAAAACTTTTCCAAAGTAGCCATACCTGGATCACTCTGAAGGGCAAGTCTGAGAGCCATTAGAACGGATACACCAAGGTCGTTCTCAGCTCAGGGAGAGGGTGGCAAAGACAACACTACAGGACAGATGACTGATCACCATGCTTCCCCAAAGCCAGAAACCCCCCAAATCCTACCTTTTTAATCTTCTTGATGTCTGGATCCTCATCTTCTTGATTGCTTTGGTAAGGCCGCATTCGTTCCTTGGTTTTATTAAGAGCGATAATCTAGGACACAGAATTGGTCCATTTCGTGATTGGGGGAATACTGGCTTCTAGCCATTAACTCATAGGAAGTTATGCCTACAAGGTAGTTTATGAGATCCTCAGGAAACTTTTTCGTGTTCTTATCCATCCTTTCTTCCTTTGGTGCTAAGGCAGGGGAAGCAAGAACTTCACTGCAAGCATGTTTAGTTCTGTTGCTAACATAAGTGCTTATGAGAAGTGACTGTGGAAGTGTGAACTGGGATTGGCTTAGGAGAAATGTTAGCCCACAATCTGGCCCAGTGAGGACTAGGTCAAGGCCTTCACAGGAGCTGAGTGGCATGCTGCCATCTTGCCTGATAATAGCTGCCTGTAATGCCCTGTGGTCTCCAAATGCAATGCCACTCAAGCCAAAGCTCCTGCTTCCCATGATGAGCCTGCAGCCTTCCAGGTACACATAAGTACAGCAGATTCATAAAATTCCTTGGGAAAATGGTAACTGCAAAAGGAACTTCAGAGTCTTGGGATTGATCCAAGCCAACCAAGAAAAGGTGAAAAGGTAAAAAGGATTGAAACAACCTGGGATCTCTTTGATCTCTAGCTCAGTTATGTGGCCTGTGAGGGGCAACCAAGACCAGATGGCCGGTCCAGTACACTTACTAATAAAATTCACTAGACTACCACTCGATTGCAGACTCTCATAAAGGTAAGAACCTATACAGATTTACTATGCAGACATTTAAAAAGAGTCATACTTGATTCCTCTGACCTGTCTTTACATTTTGTCACCAATACCAAATATACATTTCTGCCATTTTCTGGCAGAGACACGGGAAAATAAAAGGAGTAAGAAATAAATTATTTTTCCTGCCAACTGACCAAACAAGACATAGCTGCTACTGACAGTTTGGGGCTGCAATCTATATTCAGACTAAAATAGAACATAGTGAAGACAGATAAGCATGCACAAATAAAGATTGGGGAACATTGCTTGGTGCTGAGTTTCTCTTGTGGAGTAAATGCCAACTTCTTTCACTGAGCCGACAAGCATCTGCTCTAGCTTACTGTGGGAAAGAAAGAACACAATAATTTTTGTTTTAAATTACAGTGCCTGATATAGTCTTTTAAAATGCAGGTTTCTTAAGTTCTCTGTTGTTGTTTTTGCTATATCAGATTTCACGGTTGAACTGGGAAGTTAACAACACTAACGATATGGTGAACATGGTCTGCAACCTATCAGAAACCAGGTGGAATCAGCTTATACCCTTGCTCTGTGAACTGGAGGTGATGTACACAGGCAGCAGGAGGTGAAAACCCCTCACAGCATTCGGAGTATGTCTCAGAGGAAGGTAGTAAGGGAACAAAGAGGAAAATATCATCCAATGACTGTAAAAGTGACAAGAAAGTTACCAAGACTGAGGACCCTGAATTGTTCGGTCAATGGGATACAATTAGTGGTAGGTTTCCTTCTGTTCTATTCTTCTCTTTTGAAGCTAAGAAAATGCTAATGTACCCCTAGTCAGAAAGGGGGGAAAATCTTGTTTTCTACATTCCTCTTCAGTTCTTCAGTTATTGACCACTTTCCATGAGGAATAACAGGACAGCAAGGACAGGTACCCTTGGGTTTCCGTATATAGACAGAGGCACTTGTGAGCATGGGAAGACCCAGGCCCACCACCAGGGCTGCAGACACCATGACCATCTTCTGTTCTCACTTGGCACAATCTCATAATCCAGGGGTACAAGGCCTCAGAAGTTCACCTTCGGAGGGTGAGGGGTGGGGTGGAGGGAGGCAGGAATGCCAAATTCAGGAAAAAGTGTACCCTAGAAAATGTCATACTTTAACTCAAATGTGTTTTTCAAAATTCTAGAGGGGAGAAAGTTGGACTCCTTAGACATAGAAGCAGTAAAGTCTTCCAAACTTCATTTCTGGTCCTTCCTTAGTTGCCATTTGGGAGGTTAACTGAACCTATGACAGATCCACAGTTATCATTACTACAATAGTCAGTCTACAAACAATTATATACTACAGTCAGCTCTTGGTTATCTGATCAAATGAAGGGCATCAGGAGCACAAAATAATTAAAAAGCAGCATATTATTCTGATATTTTGTTGTAGCGTATTTACTCAAATCCTAACAGACTAGATACCTTTCTAGCATAGATCTGCAGTGTGACCATGTACATGTTGACAGGAAAGGAACTAAGTTTGGGATTAAAATCTTGCCCTAGATAGGTGTTATGTAATTATGAGCAGATGACAATAAATGTGAAACAATGGGGAAGAATCTATCAACTGGGAAGTACCTCTGATTTAAGTCTTTCAATTTCTGTATCTTGATCTTCAAGTTGATGCCGGAGCTGGTTAGCTGCAATTTTTTCTGTTTCTACGATCTGAACTAGATGAATATACTTCTGCATTAACACTTCCCTCTCAATCAGAATGTCTGCATAACTTAAGAGAAAATTACACAGTTAGTCAATGAGATACTGTTCTCCTGCAATTTCATATAGAACAGCATACATTATGTTTTAAAAAGAAACCATAAATGTAGTTTGTTGGCTAACTCTACTTTATGTAAATATTAACTTTTGGCTGACATTTGGTATCATTTAACTATACAGAATTCAAATCATCATTTTACATATCCTTTACTAAGCTATGAGTTCATTTAACTATATAGAGTTTGGATCATTACCATTTTACATATCCTTTACTGAGTTCATTTAATAAATGTCTGCCACCTACAATTTAACATATACATCAGAAAACTGCAAAGGAAATCTATTGTTTATAAAGAAAAAGATGCATCTTCTTTAACAAAAACTGAAGTCTTTGAATTGATGGTACACACCTGGTTTCCAGGGATGATGTTCAAAAATATTTCACTGCTATGATAAGTCACTAGCCAATCAGAACAGACCAGCCACCAAGTGGAATGAACGCAGGGACCATCAGAACAGGGACTGGCTCGAAAGAACTATGATGCCTGAACAGTGACCACCTGCTTGGCTCTCTTTAGGATCGTGAGACCATCGATACCTCTTTCAAAAATCAATAGAAGCTAATATTTCATTCTAAAAATAAGTGTAGATTCTTGGGCCCTAACACCATCTGCCTCATTTGTATCCATTCTTTTGGTGAAGTGTGGTAAAGGCAAGGCTCTCTCTTAGATTTTTATTGACTATGTAATTCTGTAGCCTGTGGAATTTTGCCTCTAGATCTTCTTGCACCCTTTGAGGTAGTTAAAATGTATGTTCCTCCATTTCCCAAATGGTCTAATAATAGTAACAATTAATAACTACTATTTATTAAGTGCTTGGATGTACCCTCTATATTCGCATTTCATCCTCCCAGCAACCAGGAGATAGGCTTTATCATTCCAATTGTACACAGAAAGATTTTAATCTTCACAGAGGTCACACAGCTAGTAGGTGGCAAGGCTGGAATCAAATCAATTTATGTTTGATCTTAAGCTTATGTTCTTAACCACAAGCTAAACTGTCTCTCTAATAAGAAATAGCACACTGGATATAAACAAGAATGTTGTAGCAGACATGTCTTGAGATATCTGCCCAATTTTGCACTCACTTACCTCTTACCTCTTCTTTGAGAACTTAGGCCATAGAAGCCATGTTTATACCACAAAATCTGTCCTCATGACTACATTACACTGGTCAAAAAAGAGATAACTGGCCCAAGCTAAACCAACTCGTCTTTCTCCTTGGAATACGGCATTCTGCCTCTTATTTATTTGCTTGAACTGATACGATACAAGCTTGGAAACTCTGGTTACCATTGTTGGGCAGCCATATTTGGCCATACCCATGCGAAACAAAGGGAGTCAGCTGAGAAACAAAGTAAGTAGATGTTCAGGAAAACAGAGATTAGAGAGACAGAAAGGTAATGACTATCTGGGTTTCTATCAACTTTCAAGTTTCTGGCTCCACATCCTCATGATATCTAAATATAATTTTTACTCTTGGGTTTGGTGAAATATTACAATTTCTGTCTAATAATCTTTCTGTAACCTAAACTAGTTTGAAGTAGGTTTGTGTTACTTAGAACCGAAAGAGTCTTAAAACAATTCTAAAATCATAATTTTAGTTCAATTATCTCAACATCTTCAGCACTTACATCATGTGTGCTACTAGTGTTAGAAAAAAACATAGTGTCAGCAATATTTTAAAGTCATTTGTTCTAAGAAATCACCCTAAGAAAGTAGACAGAAAGGCTGTGTAAGTGTAAGTGGGAGGAGGGTAAAAAAAGAAAAAAAAGAGCAGAGTCTTCACAGAGATATGCTTTTAGGAACTTTAAAAAAGGAGGAAATACTAGAACATGAGAAAAGTAGCTATTATAATAAAAATTCTGCCCTTTCTCACTGATTTTATTAGAAATATGCCAAATTTATTAAAATATATTAAATCAGTGTTAGGTAGCAAAACAGTATTTTTTTTCTCTTATAAAAAGAAAAAGTCCAGCCCAGATTGTGCAGCTGAGTTCATGCAGACTCATTACCAACATCTGTCTCCCTTCACTTCCAAGCCCCCACTGAAGTGCTAGGAAAATTATTTTCTGTTTAAAGAATGAAACCATAACAGCATTATAAAACAGGAAAATATGCCATCAACAGATCAGAAGTTGTAAGAAATTCCATGAAGAGAAAGACCAAGTAGAATCAGAGTGGTGGGAAATTCAGAGTAGAGGAAACCACACAAGGAGACACCTTGCATAAGCACGGTTCCCATGAAGGTGGCCAGAGCTCCAAGCTTGGAATCGACAAATTCAAAGAAACGGAGTAGGTAAGGTGATCATTAGGGTCTTTCATTAAACAGGTGCCTTTACCAACATCTGCAAGTTAGGCCTCTCCTCTTCCCAGTTCCTAAAGTAAAGAAATAAAAGGCACAACTGGCAGTAGTGACATGTCCTCAAGTCACAGCGCAAGATCTGCTCTCTGTAGAAAAGAGACCTAATGAGGAAGCTAGACTCAGAGAAGACACCTAATGAGGAAGCTAAATTCAGAGAGAACAGAACTTGAATTTACACCAGACCTCCACTGTTGACACAAGAGAGAACCAAAAAAGGATCAGCACTAGGAGGGACTAGGAATGAAATATATGTATTGTTTCTCTATTGTGAACAAATGACCACAAAATCCCAGGTTCAAAACAACACATATTTATTATCTCATAGTTCTGTGCATCAGGGGTCCAGGCTGTTTAGCTGGGTCCTCAGCTCAGAGTCTCACAAGCCACCCATTACGGTGTCAGTCAAGGTGCATTCTCATCTGGAGGCATGACTGGGGAAGAACCCATTTCCAAGTATTTCAAATTGTTGGAAAATTCATTTTCTTGCAGGTATAGAACTCATGCAGCTTGTTTCCTCAAGGCCATCAGGAGATCATCTCTGACCCCAAGGAGGACCCAGTCCCTCCTTGAGGGCTTCCCACTGATTAAGTCAGGCCCATCCAGGAGAATCTTCATTTGAAAATTATGAGAAATGAAAATTATTATGTGAAGAAGAATAAAGCATGCAAAGTAAATAATCTGAGATGACTTTTTTTCATTTGACAAGGACTTTTATTTGAATGACTATTTTGTGCCAGGCCCCATGCCAGGTGCTGAACTGATCTTTAACATTTTTGCCTAGATTATTATGGAGCCTCCAGCTGGTCTCCCTTCTTCTCCCCTGGCACTCTACCCCTACCTCTGTCTTTTCCCATTACAGCAGCCAGTGTGATCCTGCTAAAATGTCAGATCTTGCCATGCCTCTGATTCATTTCTCATAATTTTCAAGTCCTTTGATTCATTTAATTGGTTCTACCTAGTTTACTACTCTCACCGGGGCATCTTCTCAACTTTACATCAAAAAGCTTTCTTTTTTTTAAAATTTTATTTATTTGTCAGAGAGAGAGACAGCACAAGCAGGGGGAATGGCAGGCATAGGGAGAAACAGGCTCCCTGCTCAGCAGGGAGCCCAGTGTGGGACTCAATCCCAGGACCCTGGGATCACGACCCGAGCTGAAGGCAGACGCTTAACGACTGAGCCACCCAGGCATCCCACAAAGCTTTCTTTAGGCATCCTGCTAGTAAACAAATTGTGACAAATCAACTGGAAATGCTTCCATTCGATGTAAGAACTTTCAGAGCATTGGTATTTCTATTTTACTCTATTTCCAATATATTTTCTATCTGATTAAATTAACCAGTTGCTCAAGTTTAAGAATTTCTGCCTAATCTATTTATTATTTCTTTTTATTTTTAATTTTTTGTTGTTGTTGTTATTATTCGGTTTAACTTCCACCAGGGGAAAAAATAGTCTCTTCACTGCCAAGTGAAATAACAAAGTTAAGCCATATAAATCAACATGATGAAAACCAAACTCATGTGTCCAGTACCAACAGATGGCAAGTTTGAGGTATATATATGTATGAGAGTAAAATACTTGTGTAATATTTATAATCAAAACCAAGACTCCACTATTCCATATGGGAGAAAAGGAAACATTCCAATGAAATCCTAAAGAGTCCAGAGAAGTACAGTATAAAATCATAGGCCTTTATTATTTTTACAGAAGAGTAAAAATTATATTAGCTTCACAAGAAATGGTTAGATGGGCCAGGACCTCATCCTAGCTACTATGATTGAAGACATATTTGCTACTTAGGTAGATAGACAGATGGATAGATAGATAGATAGATAGATAGATAGATAGATAGATAGATAAACAGATGGATAGACAGATAGGTAGATAGATGAATAGATAGATAGGTAGATAGATAGATAGATAGATAGACAGACAGACAGACAGACAGATGGATAGATAGATATGCTAGATAGATATGTTAGTGAGACATACATAATGAGAACTGTAACAAAACCCAAACTGAAAACTCATATTACAGGTGACTGAAGAAAAGCTCCCACTTGCTCCAGGATTATACTCAATTTTATTGAGACAACTCTCTGAAATCAGCATTCCTCATATCAGGGGCATCATGATGTCTTTGGGAACTGGAAAAAACCAGTCCTGGATGATAGTTCCCATCCAAACAGTGTTTGAGCACCGGCAGCAGCCAGCTCATCTATGCAAGATTCTGCCTCCCCAGCTTTACTCACAGCCACTTCAGGATTACTATCATCTGCTTTTTCTGACTCTCAAATTCTCTTATGTCGATAGCTCTACTTCACCGGCTAATCAATATTTGTTAGGTGTCACATTAGGGTGAGGTTCTAACCTATATCACCCCCACTAATCCCTTCTTCTCTCTCTACTGGTAGACTCTCTTCTCCTAAGCTTGTTCCCTTTACAATGAATGAAAACTCAAACATCTCTGTTAGAAGAGACCAAAAAGAGGAATAAAATTTAAAGACTAAAACTCTCTGTTCTAAATACTGCTCCCTCTTTCCGTTTCACGTTTAGTAGTTCATTACTTAAACATCTGACTAACTTTG